TACAACAGCAACAGCTTCTAAGGTTCTACGTTTGGCCGTGTACGCAAATTGAAAAACATTAGGAAAAGTGGAGAATAATGGCCTTACAATATTTAGGGCAACTCGGTAAATACGTTTTAACAGTGTGGAAGTGGAGGCAACTGAATGAAATTATTTAGGACCAAAATAAGTATTTTTTTAAAAACAGAAGAGATTCTCACTGTACGCTAGACGTCAGGGATCTTGAAATTAATTAATAATATGTTATTAAGGTTTGACAGAACAAGAGCTATGTGAGAACAGCATAATTTAAGGAGAAAAGGTGAGACAACATGCGCGGACCTATTTAAGGTGTTTCTCTACGGTCTTCACAGACACAGGTGAGGAGACACATGGTAGCAGAAAAATTGTGTTTGCGGGAAGATAGGAATGCTTGTGAGGAAGGATAAAATCGGCCGTGTGCCCATGTGTTACGATTGCGAGTAAGGCGCTCGAAATTTCAGCAGACGAAGTGATAAATAAGGGCGAGAACGAAGAAAAAAACGCTGTCTAACAAACAGGTTATTAAATAAGACAATCCCTTTTTTCTCAGAATGGTAACGTCTCTAAGACAGTCACGTAGGCCTGACTTGTCGAGGAGTTCCTTTATGCGTCTTAGAACTTTCGGTTTGGAAGAAGGTATATCCGGTTTTACCATAACAGCATCAAGAGGATAGCAATTATCAAAAATTTCATTTAAAGGCGTTGGAAGGTGGCTAAAGCGCTATTCGACAATCGATCGTTTTAGGAGATGGGGAATAGCGCGAGATATATAATTTTGAGGTTTGCAAATGTTTTTTGAGGACGTGTCGCGAGCATCAATCTAACTACCCATATTTGGTTAACCGAGCATGGCTTAAGACGGAATAGGTTTTTGGGTTAACCAATAAAGTGGAGTGATCTGAACCTGACAACGGAACTCAATTTGTAACACAAGAAGCTTGGAGTTATTGTCAAATGTGTGGACAAAAGGGGCGCGTTTTTGAGGAGACAAGATCAAAGGCTAAGTGTGTGAGGGAACGAAGGTTCACGCAGATAAGATCACCGCGTGAGAGAAGGAACAATTTCACCGTAGAAGGAGAAATATAAAACGGAAAAATATAATTTCTTAAATGTATTCAACAAACGGGGTACGAATTTAACAACAAGAACTTCGGTCAAATAATCTGTGTAAGAGTATGTGAAACAATTTTGGTTAAGAGAACTATCAACCCCTTCACTTCTGCTACGCAAATTAGTTCTTTTTCCGGTTAAAAATCAACAGATGGACAGAGGAGTGATTAACTGCGAATCCTTATCGCCATTTAACCGTGTCATTATAAGACCAATCACAACAGCCGTATTGTGTCCTTTTTCTAACAAACATAATTCCACATCGTAAATTTCGTTGAAGACCGAACGACAGTTTGTCGAAAAAAAGCTTGGAATTGACTTTTTTTTATTCCATTGACTCTGAAGGGCGAGTTAGCTATTACACGGGTGTTGTTTCAGGCAAATATGTTTTTGTTAATAAAGAGCGTGATAAAATTGGCGAACAGAGATCACGAATACGACACACTAGCCAAAAGTGCAATAATTGAGATGATGGACGGTCGTCAGGGAATTTGACGACTTAAGTTCCTTAAAAAGAGTGCTGGCATGCTATTGAGATGGACTCATAATCTTAATTTAAACACCCAAAGAATATAAAATACATCAGCAAGTCAGAGGGAAATAGGGGGAGGAATACACAGTCTCAAAAATCCGCGCGCGAATGGAAAGCAAAAAATGGCGGCTCAAATTCCAAAACCCGTCAGTCATGCAGCCTGCATAACAACTTTCCGATTATAATTGCGACGGCGAAATGTGATCTACGTTTGCCTGCCATCTACTGGGCTACAGTTGTCGATGCTGATGTTCAGATCCACTGTGACCTATGAGTCTGTGGTTAAGATCGACAAACAGTCTCCTGGTCGCGCTCAGAAGGTCCAAGTTCATCTTTTTACTACATTGGTATAGTGAGAAGATAGCTTGGTCTTTGGTGTCACACACACTGGACGAGAACTCTCAACGGAAAGGTAAACGAAGCTTAGAAAGTAGAAGTTTCGGTGTTTGGGACAGATTTCAGTACGGTATCTAAATTTTTATCCCTGCACTATTCTGCGGATTGTTCAATGCCTTAACAGAACGACCAACGTGCATTTGGGCACCCGAAAAGAAAAACGACGTGTTAAGGCTAAATGGACTGAACATGCATCGTTTATGAGGACTGCTTAGTGTTGGATGAAGGAGCCGTCAGGGACCAGCTAAAGGAGTCTCTGATTTCGACGTTTGGATCACGCGTAACGCATGTCTTCCCGACTTATGTTTGACAGGAGGAGGTATCTAATGTTTCCTACGAGAAGTGCTCTCTTTTAATGGGATGGGCACGTGGACTACAGGGGCAAATAATCCTGGATACCCATATGGCAGGACAATAGGGAGCTCTGATTAATGTGATGCACTCACGTGACTAACGAAGACAGCGTTGTCACTCTTGCCCTGAGACAGGTCTTATTCTTGCTAGTACATTCGTCTGCACCTTCTGAAATTCTCTCAAGTTAAAAGGTCAACCACTATTGTCAGGCAGGACTAGGTCCGATGGTTCAGTCCTAGTTCGTTTTGGGATAGACAGTGGAGAGAGAGATGGGAGAGATGTAGGCTTGACAAGCTGCTCCACCGTGTCTACCAGACAATGCACTCAGGCTAACCTAGAGCGATAGAAACTTTATGTCCTGGCTTAAAAGACGCAAGTATCCTGCAGCAAATTGCAATTCAGCAATCCTGTCGATCAACTAATTTGGCACAGATAAAATTTCAGACCGAAACTGGTGAATCGATAACAAAAAGAAGAAATGAGGAAGAAGGAGTAGGAGGAGGAGACAAAATACCTCCGATTTGAAATATTCATACACGGTCAAAAGCACATAAGAACAATGGGGCGATAAGGGAGGTTGAGGCGACATAAAGTCAATAATATGAAATACCTATTCCTAGTCTGGTTGTTCATTCATCGGAAAAAGTTGTTTGCTCGACAGAACTTCCCTTGTGTTTGGTGATTAGAGACGGACTGCTAGGTCTCCTTCATTGATGGTCGCGGACAAGCTCAATAAGGGCATAGTCATGGTCATTGCCATTAACCAGCATTTTGTTCACTCCCTACCCCCGGGGTTTCCGTGATTGGCCGTCGACACACTATTAAGTGCACATCCATTTTATCCGGGTAAGTTAACCATCGACTCACAGCCGGCCTTCTCTAACAGTGAACCATAGACTGGAATTGGTGGAAAGAATTTTGGAAGCAGGAGTCGGCATGATTTGTTGGACGCTAATCCAAAATGTCAGAATCATAAAGTTTGCATCTTGTCTTTAGTTCAACAAGCACAGGAAGTCCTACTTTGGATTTACCTATATAAAGGTTATTCTCCTTAACAGTTGTTGGTAGGGCTCAGTTACGCTGTCCAGGTTTGCCGACGTCTCATTATCTTAGTACTATTATTGATTTCAATGGACGGTTAACAGTTAGATCTTTACTTCTTGCTCAATTTTTCCGGGTTCACCGATGTGCATTTGACTTTTGTGTGCTGCCCAGAGTCAGTTTGGGATTAAGATTAGTGTAATGTTCACGCCTAGGGTTAGTGTTTGGGTTATAGTTATAGTTTTGGGTTAAACTAAGATTAAGAGTTTGGGTCAAGGCTTAGGATCAGGGTTAAGGTTTTGGGCGAGGTTCAAGGTTAAATTTGATAGTTATTTTTTAGGTTAAATTCAAGCTTCTTTTGCTGTTATTCGGTTCGGGGATAGGTGTAGTGTAATGTTTACGTTTTGTGTTAGCTGTGCGGTTATGGTTAGACTTACAATTGGTACTATTGGTATAGTTACGTTAGGGTTAATTTCAGGGTTTAGATTTTGTTTAAGGTTAGGGTTAGTGCTAATGCTGGGGTAAGGTTCAGGTTTAAGTTTAGGTTTTCGTTTAGGATTTGTGTTGCTTTTGATTTATGATTACGCTCAGGGTTGGGTTAGGTGTTGAGATCCAGGTTGCATTTAGATTTAGGGTTAGGGTTAAGGTTATTTTTAGGTTTAGCGTTGGATTTAGTGTTGAGTTTCGATTAGCGTTAGAAGGGATTATGGTTTTGGTCGAGTTTATAATTCGCCTGATCTCACTACTTTTCTCGTCTTTCCTCTTGCGGGTCTCTTCTCCTTCTTCCCCTAACAATTTCTGCGGGTCCGTAAAATTATAACCAGTCTGGTTCAGTAAAAGTAAACATTTTCTTTTTTCTTTGTTTAGCAAAATGACTTTATTACTTCTTTAAAATATGATCATACCTTACGACCATTTCCGTCTACTCTTTGCTTCAACGCCCAGGTTACTGTTTCTCTTTATCAGTTGCTTTCGTCAAATTTGCCGGAGATGTTTGGTTCTGCAGACCCACATGAATGATACCATATTTCCGATCGAAAACCGACAGGGCAACGGGCTCGTGGCTCAGAGGTTAGAGGCGTGGACTTCTATCGAAGAGGTCGCCAGTTCGAGCCTCGGGTGTGCCACACTTTGTAGTTGAGTATGACTGGCTGACGACGGCTAATAAGCCAGAGATGGCCATTCCAGTCTCCCTTGTCTTTGTCGGTAATATCATTCTGACCATATGGTTATTTTTCTAAAAAGTTTCCGTAAATGCGAATACGCTGACTTTACAAATATCACGTATTTGCATGTTCCCTGCCACTTTTATCCAACGAGTGACAGTGCTACGGGGGAAGGAGTGCTAATGCGTCAGCCTGGTTTTCATCAGGTATCATTTCACACGCGCCTTCCTGTGCGTGTTTAAAACCATGCGTGCGCCCTCCCTATTATCCAAATCCGGCGAGTTGCCTAGTTGACTTACTAATGGCACTGTTCCGACGGTATGGAAATCCGTCGGTTACACTACAGTGGCCATGCACTGCGAATTACCGCCCGGTTCCACAGTGACCTTTCTGTTGTGCTTGAGCCTCTCCTGTTAATGCTCTCCTCCTCTGCATCCAGCGAGTGCTTTTGGTGGCGAACATGTCACCTTCAATTGAATATCGAGCTTTGCTTGCACCATCTAACCCCTCCTAATCCGCGAGAGGCGAAGTTAGGTATGCTAACTAAGATTGTATCAATCAATTGGGGCTGCAGGAATAAACCTCGCTAATTTTTTATTCCTTTCGTTTTCTACCTTATCTTAACACTCTCCGCGTTCAGCCTTGCTTTCTTATTAGCCTTACCCACTGACACCAACTTTCTATGGCATTTGTTTCCCAATTGCATTGTCACTGGTTCAAGTTGCAGTCGGTTCATTTTCAGTGACCTTGACCGTTCAAGTACCCTTCTTGGCAATTACACTGGGCTATTTTAGGTTACTTAAGCCTCTTTTCGAATTTCGCGCTCGCACACTGTCATTTCGGCCTAGATTTAAACAAATCTCTTGACTTTCAAGCGATTCCCTACTAAAATGCCATCATTTGGTTACTTCGTACATGTTTTCCATGTGTCTCACCCGTAGAACCCCCATTACCACTGCTCCCCTATTACACGCACTAGTCCTTCGGTTTTGGGACCCGGAGAGCGTAACCAAGCCTTGATATGTAGTTCTAATTGTTTGTGAAATCGCGTACTGCATAATACTACCAAGAGGTTTATACGGACCACGTCAGCATGCGCAGTCTCAGAAAGTGCCAAGAGTCGAACATCGTACCTACCGTATTCGCTTCCAGGACGGGATTTATACGTTCGAAGACATGAGCAATTGTTTGCAGCCTTGATAAGTAAACGATAAGGCACAGCTAGCAGCGTGACAGTTCATATGCTTATCTATTCTGTATAGTATAGTAGTTTTTCCTTAGATGAAAAGACCAGACATCAATGAGCAATCTTCTGGATGACCCCACATGAGGTTGCAATGTCACCTATGCGTTCACCGGTCAGTATCGTGAAAATCCTCAGTCATGCTAGAGGAACGCACTGGTGTGCACCTTGTCGAATGTACACGACGTGGACACGAATCTCTCCAACCACCCTTCACAGGGAAGGGGGGGGAAGTGGTGAGACTAAGTGGCGCACAGGCGGCTGCGGCTTCAACTCGGACGCACCTGCATCCGAGTTGAAGTCGGTCTAGTGACTGCAGGTCGATGCGCTGCGAAGGCGGATGACCTTAACGCAACGGAGTCCTGAGCCAGAACGCCAGATATAGCCATTATGGCTGCCGGCAACAATTCTCCTGATGGACTGTTGTTGTCCTCGATAATGTTGATTTGCCCCAAGTTGATGCGAAATACGTGAATCGAAGTCTTTCACAAAGAGTGCTAGGAAGGCGGCGACGTGATTGTGATGTTTGATTGTAAAAACATGCAGTCTAGCCTTGCGTGCTGTCATGAACAACCATCACAGCTAGGCAATGGACCTATTTGTGGATTCCTAATTTGCAAATCGTAGAGTGCATGTCGCCGACTTATTGGTCATTCAGGTTGTCCACTTGCAAATTAACCTTCCCAGTGAACATAGAAATATTCTTACTGGCAATCAAAACCCTGTACGCATTTAATCCCACGTAACATAGTTTATCGGTTTACATTTACAAGCAGTGGCGAAAGAAATATCTCTTAGATAAAGACCGTACCTGAGGTTGAAAACACAATCACCGCTCTAGGTTAAATTTATTGGAAAGTCGTGATTTTAATAGTGTAGCCTCTGTTGATAAATGTCTGACAAGCACCGCTTACAGACTCCAACCGATCTACCAAACGTGAGTTTCCTCTTTTAAGTGCAACTATTACAGGAAAGGCAAAAAGATATCTTCTTCTATAACAACAAATTTCGGTCAAGCCATGTCGTCTTCTAAACAGTCAACATTGTCCATTTAATTATATCAAATGTAGTGGACACATAATTGTTGTCTTTTAATGTGGCAAAGTTGCCCTGCCTGCAGTGTTTCCGAGCACGAATTCCCTGTAGTGCTAAATGGTAAGCTTTTTTGTTGTGGCCACACTAGTCAGCATTGAAGGATTATAGAAAGTAGAATAGAAGTTATAATTGGGTGAGTAGAATGTAAACCTGATTCATATATCCGACAGCTAAAGTAAATGCTTTTAAAAATTCAAATTGTAAAATCTTTTAGCTAAATCAGCCCCCAACGCGGACGTCTCACGTTATACAATTATACGAATCAGGCAAAATAGACCAAGAAAGCCAATTCAAAATGCTTCCAGGATAATCAAATATGGCTCTGCAAACGAAACATCAGAAATTGCAATTGGTACGTTGCCTGGATTATTTCTTAATTTACAATATTCTACTCCAAACACTGAGGGTGATATTTGTCGACAAGTGGTAGGGTGACAATAAGGAATTTTGGACGAAAACGGTAAAAGTGATAAAAATAAAGCCGTCAGCTAGCCGGCAACAAATACTGACGTTTTAATTGAAAGTCATTTCGACCTTTCTCTCCAGTTTACGACTGTCCGTAAACGCATTTGGTTTTATATGGCATTGTGTTTGGTCTTGGGCAAGGCACATAATATCCTTTTTATATTCCTTCAAAGCAAACTCTTCAACTGCAAACAGACCCCTAGGACCATCTGATTATGGATTTCAAATGTGGTTAAATGACACTCTGGATGACCGAGGTCGATCCTATACCCTGTTGCGGCTATCAAGACATCGGATTTATTTGTTAATGAAGAAGTTTTATATTTCCGACGTCCTCTCCTGTACACCGAAGCACCCCCCAAATGAGACCGATTGGTGGGCAGTGAACTACAGCTGTCCTTTTTCTATTTATCATATGGAATTGGAAGTGATTTACCAGGTAACCTGAACGATGAAGGATTGATCCTTGTGTTTATGTTTATTAGTTTTATATAAAAAGCAGGCGTGCTTTCTAAACACAGGATTCAAAAGATATGGGGAAAATAAACTTTCTTGGGATTTCTGTCAGCCAATGAGAAAACTGCTGTCATATTCACAGAGCTTATACCGGCTAGTCGGTCGAACAACACATTATCTATATGTAAATTTATCCTTGACTGTCTTGCAGATCCACAACATGGAAAGGCAGAGGAAGCTGCAAACGATATACATGGAGAATGTGGACTGCCAAGCAATCATAAAATCTGACAATGGGACACTGGAGATGGTGTCGATTAGTCTCGGAGATAAATATGAGAAAATTACACAGTCAGAATTCATCAGTTTCATACCAGGCCTACTGGGCAGCTACCCGCTCGGGGAGCGGGAAAAGGGCTTCATTTTCTACTTGGCTTTGAATTCCGACGGCGAGGCTACTTCTGTTTTGTGCCGCGACACAGACGGATTCATACACTTTGAAAAGCTCGGCAACGTGTAATGTACTGTTTGGTAACTGGAAGGTAATAAAAATCTGGGTTTAAAGTCGCATTTCTAGACTCAGATTGCTACGTTATTTGAAACGCGAGTCGCCGTTTTTGTGCAGTTGGGGAAATTTAAGAAGGAGACGTCTATTTTGTCAGGCTGAAGGGGCTGCTTGGATCGTGCGCGCACAAATCTGAACAAGTCGGCCTCAGGAAACAACCAAGACCAGATTTGCAAATTTATTGGGCGGCTTTTGTATTTTCGATATTGGCAAGCCTGAAAGTGTGTCCACTCTACCGGCCTGAACTCGGCCATCACGTCTGCCTCTTTACCCTAATTGACGACAGTCGTCCTCAGTGGGTTGTCGTTTTGCGACTTAGCTTAACGGACTTCGTACACACGGATGCGAGTATGAGGCTTCCTAAGGCGAACCAATATAACTGAACAATGAAGAATGACTGGAGGATATGTGCAATCAACAGTAATGTCGGGATGACATAATTAATGAAACAATCTAAACCGCAGTGTACTAGGAGAAGAGATCAAGCAGCCACCAGCCAAATTATCATTTCGTCATGCAACTGTGGACCACGAACAACGCTCGACCTTCGTCATCAATTTGTGTGAAATATCAGGACACTTTAAGGCAATTCGAAGAGTTAAGAAGTTGGCCCGTATTGCCTGAAATACAAATTGGATAAAGCAGGTGCCATATTCCAAAAATCACTCACTTTTTACTGATATCCTCGGAGAAGACATGTAGCAGCACACTAGTCAGGGGCTACTTTTCTCCTAAGAGACTGCTTAGATTGGTGAATACCTCAGGAGAAGACATTAAGTAAAAGTATAGATGCACGCGCACTTTCGGTTGTCTTTCAAATCCGATCTCGCCGGTGACCCTGTTGCCGACAGTCATCATGGTCAAGTCTGACGTCCTTCTTCAAAGCTGCGATGCGCCGATGTCAACTACCTTCGCGGCGATCGCTCCCAGATGTACTGGCCTGCAACAACTCGATATCATGCTACAAGAGACTTACTCCTTTAAGCTGTTCCAGGACTTGTGCTGACGAACACACAGTGGTGTCCGAGTCAGCGGTCAGAAATTTGAGACACCGAGACAGTCATTACTCGTCATAAATGATGAGAGTCTTCTTCAGCAGATTGTCGTCTTTTTTGTGGATGAGTTGTGTTAGTGGAAAATAATGCGAGTAAAATACCTGAGCGTGCATAAATGTTGTCCTAAATGCATAGGCATAAAGTAGAGGGAGATAACAGAACAATGTAAGAACACGAGGGAACACTTGTGAGCAACAGTTGAGCAATAAGTATGGATGACATATCTGGTGACATTTTAAACGGTAATGAGTTAAGAGAAGAGCTCAAACAGAGGATCAGACGAAGTGCCTCTTCTCTATCCAAATGTGAACCACATGTGCGAGGACCTTTCTGGGTAGCAAATATTTTTCGAATCCTCTGACAGAACCTTCAACACAGTGTGCAGTGGTTTTGGAAGAGCATATCAGGATAATTAAGAGAGCTGACACTTACCGTTAAATCTTTAACTTGTAGTTGTCGATATCAAGCCAACACAGCTTTGTTTGCCGAGTACCACCGATCGCTGAGGCTCGCTAAGATGACTTTTTACAACAGGTTGACTCTTTACGGAAATGTGGGCAATCCCAGCGGAAGGTGACTTTCAAAAAGCGTATATACTTCCCTCCCTCGAGGTTTCTGGTGGTAACGTTGAGAAACAAGTTTTGCTTAGGGAACTTCAGTGTGCTACATATTGTCTCCGATTTCTACCTAATCAGAGACTGGGCTAGGTCGAAATGGTTTGGTGGTTCATCAGGCTGGACACAGAGACATGGACTCCCGTGTAGGTGGCCTTGAGCCAATTTCGAGGAGATGTAAACCTTTCCGTTTCCTGATCCCAAGCTAAAATTGAACCGAGAAACTAATCTTAACATAGCCTTGCGCTTAAACTAAACCGCAACCTTAACTCATACCCTAGTCTGAACCTGAACTTTGCCTTAAAATACCCCTAATTTTCGTGCAAGATAACACAAGGCCGCTTGCATTACTAGTATTTTTTGTTCCCATGTCCTGTCGGGAGGGAGGGGATATACGCCGTTTCTACTACGCCTTTAAGGTAATCTGAATATCTTACAGCTGGGCGACACAATTCTTCACATAGACGGACTCCCCAATAAAAATGCAAAATATAAGTGTGTGACCAATCTCATGAAATGTTGCCTGAAATTCTAAAATGCGTTCTAATTAGGAAGGATTTCTTAGATTCGGTTGTAATACTGATTATCTTGCCGCATAATCCTATAATATTTGGACTTGGCAAGATGTCAACCTTTTAATACACTGCTTTTTCTATCTCCTGTAGAGACCGTACTTGGTGTAAAGCAACTATTTAAGTAGCACGTATTTCCCCCATTGCTTTTCGATGGTCCTGTAAATTCAAATATATTTTACAGAAACCACAAACAAAAATATGCTCGCTTTCAGCTGTTGGATAGAGAATCACGTCGTCCTTATCTTTTATACGAGAAGAAGGAGTATAATTAGGTTTTAAGTAAGTTTTCTAATTGCCGAATAATTTGGAGCCTGGCTAGTCGTTGCACTAGCGCTTAATGTTTTCAGTCTACAAGGTGCATGCGTTCCGAGTAAAGAAAATCACATATTCCTCTATTTCTTTAAACAGATATCATATAGAATCCACAAAATTGTGAAGTGGATGCTAACTGTGTTGTAAGTTTCATGAGGAGCAGTGGTAACCTGAAAGGTAAGATGCTGTACGAATAGACGTTGCGCGGTCTTAGAAAATTGCATAATTAGAAGCTTTTTTAAAGCCTAATTAAAATCTATCGTCTCGTATAAGAGATAAGGACGACGTGATTCTCTATCAAACAGCTGAAAGCGAGCATATTTTTGTTTGTGGTTTCTGTAGAATATATTTGAATTTACAAGACCAAGTACGGTCGCTACAGGAGATTGCAAGCAGTGTATTCAAAGGCTGACATCTTGCCAAGTCCGAAATATTATAGGATTATGCGGCAAGATAATCAGTATTACAACCGCGTCTAAGAAATCCTTCCTAATTAGAACGCATTTCAGAATTTCAGGCAATATTTCGTTAGATCGATCAGTCACTGTAGCATGCATTTTTTCGTCCATTTTTGATGCCTTTCAAAAGCCAATTATACTTCATGGAAAACAAGCATACAAATAATCGTTATTCGGTAGAACAAGACGTGTTATTATAATTTTTTTCGGTTGGATACCAGTGTCGCAACACTCCGTTACTGATGCTAGTATTATTGCAGTTAGTAACCCATACTGTAAGCGTTGGTAGAGTAGCATTGGCAGCCGTGGTGGCGGTGGTAGTAGTAGTAGTACTAATAGTAGGATTATTAGTAGTATTCGCCGTATCAGTGGTAGTAGACGGGGAAAAAAGTTTTCTTCAGTGTTGCGACACTGTATTCCCGCCAGTGGTAGTAGTATTAGTAGTAACAGCGGTAGTAGTGGTAGTAGTAGCAGTAGTAGTGGTGGTGGTAGTAGTAGTATTAGTGGTAGTAGTAGTAGTCCGCCCGTAAGACAGGCTGGTGGGGAAATAGACAATTCTAAGTGTTGCGACACTGCATTCCCGCCATTTTTTCTTCAAAGAAAGTGTACACTTTGGTTTAGAAAGCTTTTTATTGTGAGATTTTTTAATACCGTGAAATGGCCGCTCGTAAAACGTGATGTCTCTGTATTAACCAATGTATCTTGTAAAAATAACAATATGGTTAAAATCCACTGTTAAATTTAATGAACCTCATATGGTGTTCTTTTAATACCTTAGTGAAAAGAATGGATTTCCGTACGCGGAACATATAAGTCTTGTAGTTTGCAAACCTAATTACAAGTATAACGGCATGTCGGGTCCAGAATTTTTCGGGAATTGGAAGAATTTTCGAATGACGAATTATACCCTTTCTTCGAGTATAAAATTGGAAGAAAATTCTTTTTTTACCGAATAAGCAAAAGGACAAATATTGTTTACTTCATATCTGCCAAACTGCTGTTGATGTACTTAAAACCTGACGTCAGTGAGAACGCAACGGAATCCACTGGGAAATCTGTCTGATCATTCTGAGACATACATAATCTATGTGCCTACTACTCACTGCTTCAGGGCGTCCCGGAAAATCATTTTGCAATGCGATATATATTTCTTGCCAATTTTTGCAGATAAAAGTTTTTGTTTTCTACCGGGAAACAACAGCATCATATATGATTCCATTTACTGTGTCCAAAAGTGCTATAGGCAACGTTTCTGAATAAAAGCATGCTAAGGCACGGATGGACAGCAATATAAATAAGAAAGGTTTGCCGAACAGTGTCGCCCACTGCCTATTTGATGTTTGGTCCGCGTAGATCCTCTAGGGCAGGGTACAGAAATGTACATTATTTTTTTAGAAAAAGCAGATCTTATTTTTACATCACTGCGGATTTTTCTAAAAGATAGCAGTACTGCCCTTCAAAAATGAATCAATTCAAGTCTGTTCAATCTCACCTACCGAAAAACTGTTACAATAATTGGGCCACTTCGTGAAATGTCAGCCGAAATTTTGAAATGCGTTTCCGTGTCGAAAAGCTTAATTATGTAGAGTTGTTAAACTAATCATCTTACAGCATAAATCGATAATAATCCAGTTACCTCAGACTGCCGGAATTAGAGAACCATTATTTCTGACTACATGCATTTATTATACTCTGCAAAAATGATCACTTATGTAGCATGCAATTGTCTTATTGATTTTCGATTCCCTTAAAAATTCAATTATGTTTCATGGAAAACATGCATAAAAATATTCATTCTCTTGCTCAATCGGTAGAAAATTGCGTCTGTTTCCGATTTTATATTTAAATTTTGGGTGTTATTCGGTTTCAAAACAGTCTCTAATTGTGCGATTTCTTAATACCATTAAATGGCCGTTGATAAAACTTCATGTGTCAGCATTT